TTAAATTTTGGAGTTCTTTGTATAGTCTAGATATCAATCCCTAGAATTTTTTCCCATTCACTAGGCTCCCTTTCCATTCTGGTAATAGTTTCCCTTATTATGCAGAATTTTTAAAATTTTACAAAATCCCATTTGTCAAATTTTAGGATTGTGTTCTTTGCTCTTGGGGTCCTTTTTGGAAAATCTTTGCCTATGCCTATATCTATTGAAGTGTTTGCCTATGTTTTTCTCTTGGCAGTTTTACTGTTTCAAGTCTTATGATTAAGTACTTGATCTATTTTGAATTCATTTTGGGCAGAGTGAGAGATACAGATCTAGTTTTTCTTTTTCTAAGGGTGAATATTGAGCTTCCCCTACACAATTTGCAGAAGAGGCTGCCTTTTTTCCAAAGTATATTTTTGATAGTTCTGTCTAAAATTAGGTTGCTGTAGCTGTGTGGGTTTATTCCTGGATCATCTGTCCTTTATGCATGTCTTTTTTGTGTGTACATGTCTGTTTTTGGTTTAGTAATATGCCGGTTTTGTTGCTATAGCCTTGTGTTTTAATTTGAGATCAGATCTTGTGATGCCTCCAGCATTATTCTTTCTACTTAGAATTATTTTGTGCTACTATATGAACCCTAGGATCATTTTCTCTTATTTTGTGAAGAATGCCATTGAAATTTTGATGGGAATTATCTTGGATCTGCAGATTCCCTTCAGAAAGAAGGCCTTCTCACAATATTAGTTCTGCCAATCTATGAGCATGGGAGTTCTTTTTATCTTTCAATATCTTTTCTTTGTTTCATCAAGGTCTTAAAGTTTTCATTGTGGAAGTCTTTTACCTCTTTGGTTAAGATATTCCCAGGTATCTTATAAATTTTGAGATACTGCAAAAAGGATATATTTTCCCGATCCATTATCAGAAAGATTGCTATGGATACATACAAAAACCATTAATTTTTATATGCTTATTTTTGTATCGTTATTTTGATGAAAGTGCTTATCAGCTCTAAGAATGCTCATCAACGGTGTAGGATCTTTTCGGTGTAGGGATCATTTCTTATCTGTACCCTTTTTGATTTTTCATCTTGCCTTATCACCAGCTAAGACTCCAGCACTATATTGAAAAAAATAAAAGGGACAGAGTGGGTATCCTTGTCTTGTCTGAATCTTAGAGGAAATGCTTTCAGTAATTACCTACTGAGTGTGATGCTGGTAGTGAGTTTGTCGTATTAACTTTTGGGTTGGGGTGTGCTTCTTCTTTTCCTGTGTTCTACAAGTGCTTAATCAGGAAACAATGCTGAACTTTGTCAAAAATATGATCTTGTGATTTCTGTTTTAAAATCTACTTTTGTGCTGTATTACCTTAATTTATTTGCACATTTTCAACCAACGTTGTATCCATGGATGAAGCCACCATGGTCAACTGTGTGATCTTATTAATGTGTTCTTATATTTGATTTGCAATTATTTTTTAGATTTATTTTGTGTCTATTTATACACTGGGCAGAAACGGTTGGGATGCAGATCCCAACAGTATGAACAGGCACCACTGTGTGTGTGCGTGTGTGTGTGTGTGTGTGTGTGTGTGTGTGTGCCTGTAGATATGTGCACATGTGAGTACAGGTGCATGTAGAGCCCAGAAGGAGGTATCAAATTCCCTGGAGCTGGAGTTATAGGCACATCTGGGTCTTCTCTCCAGCCCCCTTTGTTGCATTTTTCTTATTTTGAGATCAGGGTAACACTGACTTCATAGAACATGCTTGACAGTCTTCTCTTTCTAGAATAATTTGAGGCATATCAATGTTTTCTCTTCTTAAAAGTGTGGTAAAATCCAGTAGTAAATATGTCTGGTCCTGGATTTTCTTTGTGAGGAGACTTTTTATTACTGCATCAATCTCATTGCTTGTTATGGGTCTATTTAAGTTGTTTTATATCTTAATTTTAGTAGGTCACATGTATCAAGTAATTTATCCATTATATATTTTTAAGTCTTTCAGACACTTTCCCAATCTCAGAGCAAAGTTGGATACAAGAGGTGAGAGTGAGCGTGCTTTTCATTTTTCTAATGCAAGGGGAAATAATCTAGTTTTATAACCATTTGTATAGGAATTAGGTTTCTCATAAGTGTGATTTTTTTTTAAGATAAGTCTTAAAACTCTCATTTGGTAAAATATTTTCTTATGAATGAATGTTAATGTTTTTCAAATGTATCTTCTCCATCTGAGATAAAGCACAACATTTTCTCCTTTATTCTCTTAATATGCTAAATTTTGATTGGTTTTCAAAGAGTAGACAATTTTGAATCCCTATGATTAATTTCATCATTAGCTTTTTAAAAAAAACATGCTAAACTGGGTTTGCTAATATTTATTTAATAGTTTTGGTATTTGTGTTGATGAGAATTATTAGCTTATATGCATTTTTTCCCTTTATTTCTTTTCCAAACTATGTAGCTCTGGCTGGCCTAGAACTCACTATACAGACCATGTTGGCTGTATCTGCCTCCTGAGTGCTAGGATTAAAGATGTATGCTACTATGCCTGGCCTTTTATTGTCTTAATAAAAGATTATTCATTTGCTTAGGAAATTTATTAAATATTTACTGAATTGGCTTTAACTCTTGCAAGTTTTTATTTTAATCTGTGTTAGAGCTTATCTGGAATCAGATAAGCTAGGTGTTTTAAAATCCTAGGTATTTAATCAGGTGTGACCATTTGAAATCATTGGTCAAGGTGATTCATGAAGATTTTCAAATATGGCTTGTTAGATCTTAATGATTTCTGTACTGTCTATGTGGCCTGTAAGTTCACACTATACAACCCACCCCCCCTCTTTTTTTTCTGAGCAACTCTATTCCTGGCCTCAGTGAGTTTTACTGTGTTTAGAGATTGCTGCCCCATTAGCAGATACAGTTTCCTATATGTAGATTTTTAAAGGTTTTTCTCTATGTAGGTTCTTGTCTGAATCTGTGTTCCACAAATTCTCATGTATTTCTCCTCAATTCAGAGTGATGATCAGGTTTAGTTAATGTCCTCCGTGCTGCTGGTTTGGACTGCACTAATGCCAGGCATGCAAGATGTACCTTTGTGCGTCTTCTGTGATTATGTATTCCAGTTCAGTGCTGCCTATTGTCTATGGAATGAAGTCACTGTTCAGCTTTCTATGGTTAGTAGTGACATAATATATCTGCTTTGTTTTTTGTTTGAAATTGTGACCAAGAGCATAATGCTTTCATTCCTTTGGTTAAAAAACTGCATCCTGGAAAGACAAAGAGCTCAGAAATGAAGAGCAAGTTAGTGCGGATTAGAATGTAAATTTCTCCTGTTTATTATTTACACAATCTTCAGTATATTTACTTAACTTTCTGTGTTGGTTTGTGCATCTTTAATGAAGATGCTGCTGCTATTATAATATGAGGAATTATTACTCACTTTCATTGTGCTGATTATGTTGTGACATTTTTAGCACAGTGCTTGGCACATAGGGGTGGATATGATGATAACTATTGATATTTCTTGTTATTTGTTAGAATTTTTCTTTTTTAAAAAGCATGATTTAAAATATTTATAATTTCTTACTTATTTATAAATGTTAAACATGTTCTTGGAAATTTTTGAATTGTTATTAGTGACCTTCATTTTGGTATAATTTTTTTTACTTCAAGTTAAGGAATGTAACATTCAGTGTTCTCCGATGGTTTATTAAAATGCCTTTTCCTACCAAAATATGTACAGAAACAGAAAATAAGCATAATCAAACCTACAGGGCAAATCCTCTGGAAGCAAGAGAGTAAAATGTGCTCCTTTAATAGTATGCAAAAGGTGGTTTCTGCAAGTTTTTCCTTGTTTCTCTCTCTCTCTCATCTTTCTTTTTAATATTTTATTTATTATTTTTATTTTACGTGTATGAGTGTTATACCTGCATATGTGTAAGTGCACCCATGTTGCACAAAGCCCACAGAGGTGGGAAGAGGGTGTTGGATTCCCTGGAACTGGAGTTACAGATGGTTGTTAGCCATCATGTGTGTGCTGGGAATTGAACCTGGGTCCTCTTCAAGAGCAGCCAGTGCTCTTAACTGCTGAGCCATCTCTCTAGCCCCTCAAAATACAACTTTTATAGCATATATCATTTTTGTTTTTATGGTCCCATGATACCTTCCTATATATCGTTTTTGCTCCCTCTTCCCTCTCTCCCTCTCCCCCCCTTTCTCCACCCCCCTTTCTCTCTTTCTTTCTTTCATCTCTTATCTGTCTATGCTTGAGATCAAACTCAGGGTTTTTTACATGCTAGGCAAGTGCTTTGCCACTAAGCTGTATCCACAGCTTAGAACTTCATAAAATCTTAGTGACAGGTAGAGTTCATCAGAGAAAAGTCAGAAAAAAGGAATGTGCTCATCACTGAAGGTCAGACCATGCCTTATGTTGATCCTCACAATCTTAAATGCGGACAATAAAATGTAAATGATTTGTCAGCCATATGTGCTGCGATCTTTCAGTTCAGCAAGGTGAATTTAGAAGTCTTGCTCTACTGGCAATAATGGTGTGTCAGCCAGTAGCATCCACTCATTCTCAGATGACAACAGCATGATTTAATTAGCTCTTGTTTATGTTTGGAATATTGATACACTTTAATTCTATCCATGCTGTCATGCAGCACAAACACATAGAAAGGTCTGCCTTTGGTCTAAATGCAGACTTTCTTTTGTTGGTGCAGTGACATTTGAACTGCACATCAGTATAAAACGCTTATAATAAGGCTGGGCGTGGTGGCACACTCCTTCAATCCCAGCATTTGGGAGGCAGAGGCAGGTGGATCTCTGTGAGTTCAAGGCCAGCCTGGTCCACATAGTGAGTTCCAGGACAGCTAGGGCTACAGGGAGACCCTATCTCAAAAAGGCCAAAAAAAAAAAAGCTTATAATAATAAGTCAGATGTCAAATCATCCAATAGACCATCTAATTCTGAAAAAAATACCCCTATCAATGAATGATATCATTGACTTGAATACAAATACTCAATCAGAGTGGAAATGCAAGTTGGTTTATTAAAATGCAGAGTTGAGATTGCTTTTGAGATCAGAGCTACAAAAATACATATATTTCCATAAATTGTGTTTTACCATTCTGATCTTTTGTAAAGATTTGATGATTTGGTTGTTAGTATAGCATGTGCTCATTATGACATATAATTCTTAACCTGGAATGATAAACTCTGTTCTAATAATGCTTATGAAAGTTAGAGAAAATGGGTGCTTTTGGAAGCCATATAGTAATTTAAATTGTCATACAAGAGTTTTTCTTTGTAACACATTCTATTTAAAGAGGTTTTTTTTTTGCTGAGGAGCTCATTGGAACAATCTAGAGTGAAGACAAATGCTCCCTGCTTGGCACAGTGTGGCCATTGTCTCACAAATTCAGACTTCTAATTAAGCAAAGCAGCTCTACAGGTAGGCAGAGGCAGTGAAAACCCTTGCCTTATCTCCTCTATTTTCCTTACCCTTTCTTGATTTCTCTACCCTTCTTACAGAAAAATAAAGAGATATACATTAGAACTACATATATGCTCCTTGATATCTCTGATTACATATAGTCCAAAGAGCAGAAAGGCAGAACCGAGATGATTACACAACCCTAAAGCTGGACATTTTCAAATACACTGTGGCCAAAGGAAAGGGGAAAGATGCTTTAAAGCTCTCCAGCCATTCCATCTCCGCCCGCATTTCCCCAGATCAGGAAGGTAATTAGCACCAAATTCAACATAAGAAACCACAGAAGTTAAAGAGCTAATACTGGCAGCTTGTTTGTTCTAGAGGTTTCCACACAATTTCAGCCAACTTGATATTTGGATCTCTCATGTCAGGAAAGCAGTTGATCAGTCGAGTTTTAGCAGCAGTCTCGATGGGGTGGCAGTCACATTTTAATGTAATTTTTAGGAAGGTGATACACTGAAAAATAATATCCCAATTATGGATTGATGGAGTACTGATACTGGAGTTTTAGCAGTGATTGTTATCTGAAATCAGGACATTTCTAAAAGAAATTTTAAAATAACAAAGATAGTGTCGACCAAGTAGATTCATGAAAAAAGTCTTGATTCTGCAGCCTCCTTGGTGAATGCATCACCGAGTATCACAAACACCCTTACATTCTTGTTACATCTTGTGAATGTGTGAATGGCAAACAGAAGAGACTCAAGAATGGCCAATCGCTGTCCCTCTAATAGTGTCTGATATTTGAGTCCTTTGTTCTTTTTGTGCTAGTTTCAGGTGTTTTTCTCTTATTCTAATGAGTTCTTATAGCCTAAAAATCAACACAAAAAAACAGTCAAAATTATGGAAAAAGAATGCCAAGGTCACACCACAGTCATGTCCTAATGCTTAGTGTGCAGAGAAAGCAGTTATTTATTAAAAGTAACACACAAAAACACGAATAGAATACCAGTCTGTACAGAAGAGCATGGTATGATTTCTACTTAATATTTAATAACACACTTGGAAAATTCTCCTGCATTAACATAGTGGGAAACAATAAATACAAATACTAGATAATATAAGAACACAAAGAAAGTAGACAAGTTTCCGTGGATAAAGGCTGTCAGCCCTAGAAACTTGAGACTCAGTGATGGCACATCCTCAGTGAGCCCACCTGCCTGGGATGATCGCTCCCTGCTCACAAATTTCTCTCCTAAGAATGTCCCTACAAACTGGAGTGATTTATTTTTCCACATTGCAAAAGACAAGAGACCCAGCATTCTTTTGATTCTATCAAATTATTTCATATCATTCCTTCACTGGGACAGGCAACTGGTGCAGACTGGTGAGAAGTCTGGAAGCTGGGATTGACGCCATAGGGCTTTCCCCTTTCTACGGGTGGAACACGGAAGATGAAGATTAAGCCTGCAAACAAGAACAGCAAAATCTCAGGTTGTACAAAGTGAGGAACTCAGTGTGGCGGGGGAGAGCAGGTCTTAGTAAGAAGTGTTAGTGACTCACTGATACTTTCCACACACAATAGTCATGTGAATGTCTCTCATACACTTCAAACTGAACATTCTGAGTAGAAAAAATACTCTATTGTCTCCCAAACCTGGACCTCACTCTGTAATTCCAATCTTTACTGTTACTTCTTTGATTCTTTCAGACACTCCAGCTGGAAAGATGCGCAGCATCAGTAGGACTGTTCTTTCCCCTGCCTAGATTCATTCACCACATTTTGATTTTATTATTTTTATGTTATGTTAGAAGTATGTTGCTTGAATGTAGGTAGGTGCACCTGTGTCATGTGGTATCCACAGAAGTCAGAAGAGGTTGTCAGATCTCCTTGAACTGGAGTTATAGACAGTTATTAGTCACCATGTGGGTGCTGGGACCCGAACTTGGGTCCTATGCAAGAGCAGGCAGTGCTCTTCAACACTGAGCCATCCCTCTAACCCATATTTTGATTTTCAAAAATATTTTATTATTTTTGTTTTATGTGTATGAGTGTATTTCCCACACATTTGTAAGTGCACCGTGTTGTGCAATGCCTGCAGAGGTCAGAAGAGGGTGTCACATCCCCTAGAACTGGAGTTACAGACAGTTGTTAGCCACCATGTGGGTGCTGGGAATCAAACACAGGTCTTCTTCAAAAGCAGCCAGTGCTCTTAACCATGGGGGCTTCTCTCCAGTCCACATTTTTTTTTAACAGTGCTTGGTATTGAACTCTGAGCCTTGCACTGGTGAGACAAGTGCTCCACAACCAAGAAATGTCCCCAGTTGCACGGCTATGATGTACTGGGACTAGTGTCTGCATAGTCCATGTAGGATGCCAAAGGGACTGCATCAGGGTGCCATTAATGTCCTTCTGGAGCATTTCAGATGGTCCAGCACATGTGAGAATGGAAAAGAGAGGAGATGTACTGATGAGGGAGCAAGCAGGAGGTCATCATGTTTGCTGAAAAAAGGCAGGAAAAGAAGGACAAGTCATGCATATTTTCTCTCATTTGTGGATTATAGATTTTTTTATAGACACATAAAAACCAGAGACGAGACTGCTTGGGGGAAGGAAGCTGACTGGCCGGAGAGGAGATGGAGGTGAGGGGAAGGGTATGGGGGATGAATATGGTCAAAATACACAATATATTTGATAAAAAGAGTTTATGGAACTTTACTATGCCAATAAAAAAATCCCACCTTAATGGAAGTTCTGTGTAACAATAAATTATATCCTGTGGTCAGGCTAGCCTCCCTACTCCTCATAAGAGAAGAGTCTTGGCAAAAGATAACAGGGCACTTTTTTACCTTCGGATTTGCGCCAACAATGCAAAGAAACGCACACGATGGCGATGAGCACCCACATAGCTTTGACTCTTAGATTCTAGTGACCTTCAGAGGTTATCATAAGATTTTTAATTAACAATTTCTTTAATATAAGTAGCTATTTTTCAGTGCGGTACCAGCTACTTCGAGGTAGAACCACTTTTGTTCTCATAGTGGGTATCAATATAAACAGGGTAAGTTGAAACAAAAATAACCCTTTTATGATTGTAACGTATTATGGGTGCTGTTAATCTCAGTTGTTAGCTTGACTGGATCCGGAATCAACTCACTGACTGATAAGCCACTGGGCACACGTAAGGGATTTCTTGATCAGATTGTTTAAGTGGGAAGAACTTAATGTGGGTAGCACCTTCCCGTGGCAACTCAGATAAAAGGAAGTCTTTAAAAAACCTGTGCATTTTGCCTGCTTGCCTCTACTCTTGCTGACAAGTCCGTCAACTCTTGTGGCCACTGCCACTGCATTCCTTCACTGAACTTTTTCAGGCTGCCTACGTGGACTGAAGAACAGAGGCTCTCCTGGTATCTTCCAGGTCTTCAATGTCGATTAAGACTCCTGAGGTACCCAGCTTCACCCAGTACCCTGCTTCATGGACTGAGCAGTTACTACTGGGTCCTCGGCCTCTTCAGTGACAGCCATTGTTAGACTAGCCAGCCCATGTGATGTAAGCCAATCTAATTAAATGCCCTTTAAATACATATTCATTCTATTGTCTCTGTTACTCTAGATAACCCTGACCAATACAGTACTCAAGTATGTCACTGAATCTGCAGGGGAAGGTAATATTTTCTGAAGCCCTATCAACCTTCTTACTGTTGATATAAAATTAGGATGAGTTTGAATTGATGAGCCAGCATCAATCATTCTACTCGGTCTTTAATTTTCTTTCTGTAATTGTTTTCTTATTTTCTATGCCAGATTTCACGCTCCCAATAGATGATGCTCTGCAAAAGACAAGAACCGTAGCTCAAAAGTCTTTTGGGATTCCTGTCCGCCCCGCCAACCCAGATTAGACATAACTCCCTGCACAAAATAGTGGATCAATACACAAAGAAGGAAGCATTAAGTGTATCTGGAATCTTATTTTGAGAAGTAAAATTTGAGTGTAAGTGGTTGCTTCCACATTATTGTTTGCTGCTACACATAGATTCAGAAACTTCTTAACTTCAGTTCTAAATCTTCAAGGTCTGATGAACTCATTCCAATTTATTCTGAATCATTAGACTGATAACTGGTTTTTAGTTGACAACCTAGAAAGTACTCACTGGTTATGAAATTCTAAGTACAGCGACAGAAATATGTATGTCGAAGTAAAAGTAACATAAATAGACAGTGCAACTGACATCTGTCAAACCTGTTTCTTCTACTACTTTCTGATCTTTATTCTTCAGAATATGTCTATGCTCTAAAATTTTTCAGAAAAGCAACAAAAGTTATGTACTTCTGAAAATCAAAAGAATCCATAGGCTAGGAATACAATCTTTTTTGCACATGTATGCAACGTGGTATGTGTGCATGTGTATATGCATGCTTGCACGTGTGGGCATGTGTGAAGGCCTGAGATAATGTTGGATGCTTTCTTGATTACTCTTCACCTCGTACATCGAGGGAGGGCATCTTACTTGAACTCATTTCACTGATTTGGCTAGTGTAGCCAGCCAGCTTGTTTGTTCCTGGGACAAGCCCGCCTATGCCTCCTACAGGTTGGGATTACAAGGGGGCTGCCACACCCACCGCCTATTTACATGGTTACTGGAAATCTAAGTTTTCATGGTTGCTTAGGAAGCACTTTACCTCCTCAGCTGTCTTTTCAGACTGGAATATGTTTTTTCAAGTATAAAAACTAAAAAAAAAAACCAACTGGGTTTCTCTCTCCTTTCTCCCCACCTCTCTTTCTTTGTTTCTTTCTGAGGCACGGTATCATTAGACTGTTATGAAGCTGAGCATGACCTTGAACTTCTGATCTTCCTGTCTCCCCTCCCCAGTGCTGGGATTATAGGCATATGTAACCATGTCTAGTTTTATGTGGTGCTGGGGACTGACCCCACGGCTTTGTGCGTGAGAAGCAGGCATTTTACCAACTAAGCCACACCCCCAGCTTGGACAGTAATTTCTTTTATTAAAGATATTTGGATTGACAGTATGTCTCATATCTTACACAGCTTTTCCTTCTCTTATTGTTTTTGGTCCCACCCATTTGAACAGAAGAGAGCTTGTCCTTATCCAAGTTAAATAATTGGTTTCCACATGTGGAACATTTTGTAACTTAGAAAGCACCTCTTTACTAGGTCCTGGGTTGCAAGAAGCCACTGCTGACTTGCAAGGAAACTTCCTTTTTATCAGTTAAAACTGATTCACATGCCTCCACTCCCAGCTCTCTAACTGGGCTCCTGAAAGAGCTCATTACAAATGGAAGGATAAAGTCCCAGGTTCCTCTCACAGGCTAGAGGGGATGACACTGCTGCTGTTATGTGCACTTGGATGGATGGTCTCTGCCTCTGTCTTCTGCTCCTGATGAAAGAGGCATTCAGGGAACCAGGTACTCACCAAGTGATTGTTGAGTCTCTGTAAGAACACCATATTAGTAACTGGGCGGTGGCCACAGGCAGTACACAGAGCACTGATAGTCCTCACTCTGCACATGTCACTCAGAGAGCTGAGCAGGTACTGGACATGCAAGTATTTATTGGCTCTTTTGCCTTTTATTGTTTTTTTCTGAAGGATAAAGTTTTCTGTATGTTCCGTAAAATATCAAACATTAATTCTTATAAGAATCAATGATTCTTATGGGAACTAAATCAACATAAGAGACTCTCCTAATCTGCTTCTAGGAATGCCAAAGGCAATTCCGTATGGAACAATTCTAGTGCAGGCCTGACAAGACACCAGAAGTATGAGTGTTTTCTGCCTGTGTTACACTGGCTCCAGGCTTGAAAGATTTCTACTGTTTTTGAATTAACAATCATTTCTATCTGGTCTCCTTGAGACACCAGAAGAACTCTGTCCCCCAGTTGGTCAAGTAGAAAAACACGTCTTTATGAACGGCTGGGAATAAGAAACCTTAACTGAGACTGCATTTTTTGTCACTCTATTCGAAGGGCTTTGTGCACATATCCGAGTTTCCTAGATCCAGAGAGAATGTGCCTCCTGATGTGGTTCTGCAGAGAAGGTGATGGCTCTTCTGTGGAGTGCCTCTGGACCACTGGTTCTGATCCAGTCTGTGGGGGTGATGTACCTCCTTGTCCCTGTGTGGCTGTTGTATTGTACCCTTTCATGTAGCACACTAAAGATTTGACAGCAATGTTCCCTGTGTCTTGCTGGTTGGTAATCATTAAGCTATGGAACCTTGCCTAATTGCCTCTGTTAGGGTGTTTACTGATTCAAGTACAGACAGCTACATTTATAAGGAAGCATCAGTGATAGGCAGGAAGGGTAAGTTGTCCCTCCTTAGACAGGCAGGGCTGTTGGAAGACCCTCCTACAATTGTAACTTTTCCTATAGTTTGTTTCTTGCAAACAGTGATGTTTCACTGACACAAACCATTAACTTTTCAGGGTTTAAAAGCCTATAAAAATAATCTAATGCACAGCAGGCTAAGAAAACAGATATTAATGAGTATCTCTGTGAATGGAATTAGGAAACTTACATATTTATTGTCCAGGTGTAGGGAGGATCCATCAAGTTGTCAGTTCTTGGCTTTCCCTTGCATAGAGTGCTCGCCTGAAAACAGAGGATAGGTTTTGATATATGCTCCCAGAGAGTGGTGGAGGATGAAAATAAGGTTTTTTGGCTTTCCTTTTTTTTTTTTTTTTTTCCCTTAAAGAAAACTTCAATTTTCCTGCAAGATTGTCATTAAAGCCACAGTTTGCCTCTTGGTATTGCCTAGAAATTATTCAGCAAGATTTCTGAGCTTTCTTTGACCATCATCTATTTCCCCATAAAGCAACCTTGTTAACTAACTCCCTGGAGGTAGGGGGTATGAACTGGGAGACATAACAACAAGATACCTGGGAATGCATTATTGATTCCTCCTTGTTACGTGAGCTGGCTCTGCCTAGGCAAACCTATACCACATATTTAATGTGCCATTTTATCAAGAAGATATTCTTGGGAATTTTTATTCAAATAATTCTGTGAGAGTTTTGGGAAAATGAGTTTATAAGGCAATATGAACACTTAAGTGACATTCAAAGATGCACATAGGTGTCATTCCTCAAAATTTCAGACATCTATCACTACTTGGTGTAAAAGTAGGCATAGTAACCTGTGATGAGGGGAAGATGAGAATCTTCAAGTAGTTTTAACCTGGCACTAAATGCATCACTAGCAGATTTCACACTACCTGCATCCTTCAGGGAGAATTAAGTATCATCGATCAGTCATAATTTCAGGTAAGATTCTCCAGTGTTAGAATAAATGTCATCATTTTGTGTTAGCTTTCGTGTTGCCAGTGCTTAGGACAGCTGTTTTCTGGGGACAGTGTGGATGTTACCAGTTACCTCCACAGCCACAATGGTAATCAATTGTACCAGAGAGCTAGGGGGAGCACTCGGCACTGCTCCCCAAGGTCTCCTTAGGTTCTGTGCTGGGACAGCTGCTGGGCACAGTGTGACAGGACTTGCAGCCCCAATCCCACCGCACCCTGTCATTTCCCACCGTTTATATTGCCAAAGGCGTAGCACCAGCCTGGAGCCCATGACCATGAAGAAGAGGAATGGGATGTAAGCACTGTCCTTCTCTAACCCCTGCTATCTGGCAGAAACCTTGTAAAGAAGATCATGGTAAAATCATTACAATTCTTAATATTTTACCTCAAGTTCTGTCAAATTAGGAATGGACACTGTGTGAGAAAATTTCAATAACAGCATGATTTTGATAATAATGATAATAATAATATCTGTGATAAAAGCAAATGAAGCACTTGCATTTCCAGAATGGGGAAAAAGCAGTTGGAAGGAAATAGCATACCAAACACTCACAGTGAGTACATCTAGTTTAAAAGTTCCTTTGTGTTCTCTATTTTTCTATTTCATATTATACAAAATGTGGTCAAATATTTTCTTTCCCGGTGTAGGGGAGCATGCCTTTCACTCCAGCACTTGGAGACAGAGGCAAATGGATCTCTGTGAGTTTGAGGCCAGACTGGTCTATAGCAAATTCCAGAGCCAGCCAGGACTACATACAGAGATACATACATATCTCAAGAAGATAAAATTAAAAGTTAAAATATTTTCTTCCTCTTTCTCACAACCTTTCATGCTAAAAGAGAGGTGAAATGTCTGTTAACTTTCTGGGTTGCAGTAAGAGAATCTCTTTAACGCATCATGTAATACATACATTTTGCAGTCAACTGTGGTGATGTTTAACTTGGCTAGATTTTTTACTAAAGCTAAGTGGGAGAATAGGTATGCTCATGGGGGACTCCTCCTCCATCTGCCACACTTGGTGCAAACATTCTTCTGGAAACAAATGCTTACACAGCATACTTTTTATTTTGTAGAAGGACAGCTCTAACTTTAAACATGTTTGAACTACATTTTCAGTAGATTGCTTGAGTGAGAGCATGTCTAAAGGAAGCAGGAGCATGGACGGACAAGCACGGTGACCCAATGAAGGGGGAAGATTGTGGGGGAGGCAAGGAACTGTCTTCCCTAGGAAAATGACTAGAATTTTAGCTGGGGCTCTTGGAGGCATCTAGAAACTCCGAAAATTTAGCATCCACTGGCATTTTTCCTGGAAGCAGGAGGTTGCAGAGTCTGTCTCCTTGGAAACACTGTTTATTGACTTCTTTCATGACATAATTCATTTTGAGATAAATGTCCCAAGATTCTAGAGTGAAATAATGGCCATCTCCCAAATCATTACAGCCACTAAAACTCTGATTTCATTGTGCTGTCCATTTATGCAATTAATTTATACTTTAAGTCTTAGACCTTGAAGTAAATAATATACATTGTAGCAATCTTCAGTTCTGGTTGGTGAGTGGCTGATGTCTGTTTTAAAATGATTTTGTGTATCTTTAAGTATTTCAAGAAGATTACATCGGTAACAGTAGAAAAACTGAGGGAGCCCGGCACGGTGGCGCATGACTTTAATCCCAGCACTCGGGAGGCAGAGGCAGGTGGATCTCTGTGAGTTCAAGGCCAGCCTGGTCTACATAGTGAGTTTCAGGACAGCTGGGCTACAGGAGACCCTGTCTCAAAAAGACCGAAAAAAAAAAAAAAAAGAAAAGAAAAACAGGTAAACCTGTGAATTACATTTAACCTAATCAATATAGGTTTTATTTTAGTTATATTTTAGTAGAAATTTTAGTACTGATCTTGAGACAAATAAAAATAATTTAAAAATTTGGTGAGCATAATTTCATAAAGAAAACATTTGAAAAAGTTTGAAAGGCAATGGGGAGATTTTGATGGGGAACATTTAAGAAGCCAAAAGTTTTGTTAACATTGGACTTTAACCAAGATTGTGGGGGTTTAAGAACCATTGGTGGTCATTACACTTTATATTATTAATTCTAGGTTGCTGAAATCTACTCAGAATGGCCATTTCTGTTTCATCTGGGCATTTTACATGGTAGTCTGCTGGACTGACCTTTGAAGTTATTTTGAAAGTGGTGTTTTCCAAAGGCAAGTGGGAAAAAGTGATAGCACCAGAAAACAAATCTCAGCATTTCCATGATAGTAGTCATTGCTTCTTCCTAAAGCTGTGCCCTGACATGTCCCTTAGAAAGATAAAAGAAGCTGGCAGGGTTCAGGGTCTGCTGATGTATCCATTGTGGTCAAACTTCATTTGTCATTGCAGTCACCCTCTGTCTGGAGAGCTTCAGTTGTCAGCTTGACACACCCGGGTAGAGGGAGCCTCAACTGAGGAACTGCCTCCATTGACTAGCCTGTGGCCATGTCTGTGGGGTATTTTCTCGATTGTTGAGAGATATGGGAGGCCCCAGCCCACTGTGGGTGGTGCCACCCTGGGCAGGTTGTTCAGAATTATATAAGAAAGCAGGCTGAGAGGCAAGCCAGTAAGAGTGTTCCTCCACAGCCTGTGCTTCAGCTTCTGCCTCCAGGTTCCTGTCCTGAGTTCCTACTTCCTACTTTGTACTCCCTGCTGTGACCCAGGAGATATAAGCCAAATAAGCCATTTCCTCCCCAAACCGGTATTGTTCAGAGTGTTTTGTCACAGCAATCAAATGCAGACTAGGACACAGTTAGAGCAGAAAAAAAAAAAAAAAAAAAAAAAATCTGCTTTTTGGTTTGCAACAAAGAACCACAAGAGGTTCCTTGAGAAATCCATGAATCTGCTGTCATTTTCCTAGAAATGGAAATTAGAGAGGGTCAGGTGGTCCTTGTTGCAGCCCCATCCTCACTAGGAGAACCAGAGGTTCCTGAACAACACCCCATCCCACAGCTCCAGAGCCTAGGAAACTGGGGAACATTTGGATAAATTCCCAAGGGAGAGAGGATGAGCATATGGCCCTACCACTGTATTACCTGGCACACAGAGGCAGGCTCAGAGCTTTACTTGATCAGTGGTATAATCATGCTCAGGGTTCCTCAGGAGCTGACTTAAGACTAATGCGCATTCAGGCTGCTTACCCAGTTTCCCACCTTCCCCTTTACCTAGCAGAGCAAGCTCAGCTTCATAGTCATTGCTGGTGAACAGCCAGGAAGAACCTAGCCATAGATTCCTACTATTCTGTGAATAATTTAGGCTCTTCTGCCCTTTTAGATAGGATTAATCCTGAGAGAAAAAAAATAGAGTGGGCTTACAGGAAATGTGTTCACTAAAGAATGTAAGAGATTCAAGAATAAAAAAATATATCTCTTAAAAATAAAGATGTGTCACATATGCCTGGGCAATTCATAGACAATGTCGTGTGTGACCAGTTGTGGTACTTGGTAATAGTCTCCAACTGGTGTAAAATGAGCTTCTTTGATGAGTGACGACTGGGATATTTTTCTGTAAATATAAGGCTATATATTTTGCATATAGTAAGAAATCACATTAGTCTAGAGATGTGACAGTCTTAGGGTTTTCTCTAAGATCTATGACCACTCTAGCCATGTGTATTTGGTTATGTTTACAGTACCACCCTTGAGTTTCCCTCCACTGAGTGAGCTTTTAGTCTAATTAGGTAGCTGCTGATTGAACCCAAGATAAAAGAGCCACTACCGCACCAGTGTCCTATGCTGTGCTGGCCATTGATGTGGTTATTTGGTCTTGAAGCTGATGTTGGACCATAGATTGAAACCTCTACACCTAAGGCTCATGGAACATACAACAGAGGTAAAGAAGAGGACACTAATAACTCTCTCAGCTCTCATTAATGAAGCTCCCTCATGCAGCAGAGGGCCAGGAACACAAAAGATTACAAATGGCCAAAGTGTAGAGATACAGAGTCTGCTGAATGCTGGTCCTTGGACAGGACTCCTTTATTAAACTTCACCTACCCAAGGCTCAGTGACCATCTCAGAAGAGGGGGCAGAAAGATTGTAAGAGCCAGGGAGGAGGTGCATGACCATATGGAAACAGAGTCCTACAAGCTCCTAGGAACCTGCTCATATGATTCTATGGCAATGGTGTCAGCATACACAGGTCCATGCAAACTCAGACAAAAACCCAGCATAGAACTGGGAAAATAAACAGCAGACGCTAATCTTATTTGAAGAAATATTGGCAACTGATTGCTGCTAGGTGAAGAAGAGCTGATCTTCCTAAAGCAAGGGACTCTAGATAGGCTGACTAGACCTCAGTGGATGGACTTGCACTGGGAAATGTCTGGGGACACTGACTTGACACAGTGCGCCTTAACAAGGATGACAGAGTATATGGGGGGGCTATGTGAGGGTACTGGTGCGAATGGGGATACAAAGATGATTAAGATTGTTTGAAATGTTCTGTATGAAATATACAAAAAAATCAATAAAAACTAATTAAAAATAATAAAGTAAAATAAATAAATAAATAGGGCAATGGCGAACTGGGAAGCACTCAGTGGTAGAGAACTTGCCTAGCATGCTCTGGGTTCCATCTCAAGTAGGGAGGGAAGAAAGGAAGGAAGGAAAGGAGAGAGAGAGAGGGCAAGAGAGAGTACGCTCACATGAGGGTTAAGGCCTATCTGTAGCTTTGGGGTCCTTAATCTTATAGTCCTGTTTGCCTGTTATACTTCATTCTGCTTTGACTATTCTTCATGAAATAGGAGCATTAAACTTTTAATACCTTGCTTTTGATTTTGGACAATATTTATAGCTTATTTTTATAAAATTGCTTTTAGATACTAGAAATGTGTATAACATAGTTCTTCATTCTGTATTTCTCACTGAACATATACATGTATGCTAAGGTGATTTTGTATAAGTAAACTTTGGGGGATTTGAACATTGTTAATGTATTAATGTAACTTGATATTCAATTAGAGCTATATGGGCAACTTTGTAAAACTTAAAACTTATACTTGTGTTTACTTTCTTTGATTTGTGATATTAATGCTTTAAATATTGGTTTACTCAAACCAAGAAAAATACTATGTATTTTTATTTTTCATAACAATTTTGCATCTCATTTGTTATTGATATGCTTTTTTGAGATGGGGTCTCCCTGTAGCCCCAGGGGGCCTGGGACTCACTATAGAGACCAGGTTTGCCTTGATCTCACAGAGATCTGCCTACTTCTGCCTCCCAAGTGCTGAGATTAAAGGCATGTGCTATCATGCCCAGCTCATATGTTATTGATTTTGATACAAATATATCTTATATAAATTATATTTGTATTTAATAAGTTTTACATTTTGAATTAAGTAAAATATGGCTAAGAAATTTAAAAAGAAATGCAGCTTTTATCAATAGGAAAATTTATTTTATGGTTCTTGAGTAGGTCAGCTGAGATTTTCTGAAATAATACAAATCATTATCTGCATTTTAATTGACTAATAAATTCTGATTCCAAATGACCAGTACACACACACACACACACACACATCTCAAAATGAAAGAAAACAAGAGCAAAAGTTTTTGAAGCCCTGTTAAACTTCATTTTCTTTCTGCCAGTCCTTCAGAGAAGGCAGCAGCCAGCCACCACTTACTGAGGAGAATGCACCTACCATACTTCTATAAAATGCAACCTCACAAAACCCGTCCCCAATCATCTTATCAAAATGGTACTTTAAAGACTTTGTCCTTATAACAGAAACTTGTATTTATTGAGAGTTACTATCAGACTATTTCTAAAAAAAATGTTCTGTATTCTGGTTTGTTTTGTATAAATGAAATCCCTGTGGTAGTTCCATTTCAAAATAATCATTTTTCATCTAACCAGCTGAGGACTTACCAGACTCATGAGAGATTGCTTTAACCGTGAGCAACTTCACACTCTCTTTATCGGATTGAGGCCTGTTAGGTACAGAAATGCTAAATTAGCACCATAAGTATTTGCCTTGTGTTTGTGAAAGAAAGTAAATGAAACACATAGAATGAAGAGAGGATGCACGCAGAGCTGTTTTTATGTTCTTCTATGGCAAAATCTATGTTCCTGCACATATAGGTACACACACGGCAGCATTTTTCTAGTACTTCTTGAAGAAGTATAGTGGGTCCGTATTTCTCTGGTACAGCAGTGATCATCAGTGATCTTATATGTCCCCTGGATCACAAGGCCCAGGTTGTATGCACACATCTCTAGTTCTGATATATGAGTAGGAAGACATAGAAACATTTCCAGACTTTCTGAGCTGATAGTGAGTTTTGGGGATATGTATTTTTATTAATCCCAAGATCATAGCACCTGAACCATCTATTTATTTTATTATTTTTATTTTATATGCATGAATATTTTGCCTGAATGTATGTGAATGCACCATGTGCACACAAAGGAAGCAAGAGGTCATTACATCCCTGGAGCTGGAGTTATAAGTGGTAGTCACCACGTGGGGTGCTGGGAACTGAACCCAGGTCTTCTGCAAGAGCAGCCAGTATTCTTAACCACTGAGACATCTCTCCAACCCCAAGAAAATTTTCCCTGCATGAATGATAGGATCATAAGTTTTAAGGGAGGAAAGTGATGCAGCCCGACTTACTGATCATTTCCATTTTCTGGCGTGCCTGGGAAAAAGAAAAAGTAGTTGTCATTAAACCTGAGATGTGGGGATGGACTTGCTGCTGAAAGTCTCTATAAAACTAGTTTTTATTTTGCTTATTATTCACAAACATTTCCTCAGGTTCAGTTAACACTCATCCTGACATGGGACAGCCCTCGTTAGACCAATGCAGCTCATCTTAGCTCTAATTTAATTTTGACCTTATGGATTCATGTTACTTTGAGAGAGTACTGCCCATGCTTGTACATTCCACAGACATTAGAAACTCGGATGTATTTAATATCTTTGAGAATCTTCTCCTCAAAGTACTGGATTTCCTTTGTCAACCAGAGAATGTAATTTTCTGTTTTCCTTTGTAATTGCTCTTTCTTGGGACACAAGTCACTATATTCGTGATGCGCTACAGTGGAGATAATCTTCCATTGGATGTTAAGCCCCTCACTGATTCAGCCTCTCTAGAGCACCTTGCTGACTGCCAGTACTATAGACAGCTAGTCTTTTTTATGCTCTGCAAGGCTTCTTCCCAAGTGTCTGACAGAAAATGCTTGGGTTCTTCGTGAAGATGGCTCCTTCTGCACAGGGCCATGACCTCTCTGCAGTGGGTGCCGGACTGTCTAATTCCTTTGTTTTACTCTTGATTGCATTCTCTAGCCTTCAACCTCTGTCTCAGGTTCCTTTCTTATCTAATCTAGTTTGTCTAATCTAGCTTATCATATAGTTTTTGTATATCTCTACTGCCTTTGAGTGTTACTGTTTCATAAGGACCTTGATTTACATTATCAGTTAGGCTGCTTTTGTTTCTGTCACCCAACCCAAAACATCCAATCAGAACTCTACATCTCTTTAGAATTCACCCACGGCACCATGTGCTGCTCACTAACGGGGTCTAACCTTGTCTTTTCCCACAACTAGGGTTTAATAGGATTGTTTATTCATATAGGTACTGTATACAATGTCCCCTGTGATGTTTAGAGCTTCCTTTCAGAGTGAGTCCATAAAATTTGCATGCCTGTTGTAATATTTTTAAGAGTACTGTAATGGTGGGGTCATTAACAGACAGATGCCTGTCAACAGACTTTCTGCTTGTGCATCATGCTTGCTTGAGTTAACAGTCAGCCCACTGTCAACATTATTCATATAAGCTTAATTGCAAATCTCTGATTCATGTTGTCTTCCAGAGAGCAGAGTGGGCTTATTAATTTCTCAACATAATGAAGTCTCCTCCACACATTTGAAGAATGATTAACTGCGGGTGTCTAATGGTGAAAATTTAATGATAACAGTGCTGTAAATTCTGTTTGGAAAACAAAGTTAACAGTAGCCAAATAGTTTTGACTAATTATATAATTTCGAAACTTGGCTTTACATCATCAGAATAACTCTCCATAATGGTAGGAATTTTACCCATTTGTAGAGTCACCTTTAATAGAAAATGTCTCTAGAAAATGTCACTTCTTAAATCATGTATTTTCAAAGCCTTTCTATGCAAAACAATCTTTTTTCAGCACAGAGTCTTTTCACAAGTGGATTTAACATTATTTTTTATCCATCTTATATACTTAACACTCCTAGTTTCCAGCTGTGGTGGCTGTTTTCTCATAGAAATAGGATTGGAGGCTTAAAAACAGAAAAAAATAAGCTAGCTTATACAAGCTATTTCCTCTTTGGAAGCTGGATAAGAAAGTATATTTCAGACACAATGAAATTTATTTACTCACTTCCAAAGGAAAATACGTTGGTCTGTTTTCTTATTTCCCACCTGGAGCTAAAATGAATAAAACGGTGTCTCCCAACTTTCCCCTTTGCTGTCATGATCTGCTCCAACAGTCTGTGAGATGCATAGTCAGTGGTTGGCCTAAACTGTGTTCTTAGTGTGCTGGGGTTTACTGTACATGGTGTAAGAGAAAAGCCGTGCCCCTCGTAAGCCATATAAAAATAAGGACCTTTTTCTTTTAAATAGTTTATGAGGCTCAGTTAGAACTTTGTTAGTGAAACAGAATGAAAATAGAGAAAGGACAGATGCTATTTCACTGGACATTTAAAAATTTAACTCAGTAAACAGAATAAAAGTCTTATATAGATGGCACAACACAAAGTGAGGAGCGTATGGTTTGTGATGGGAAGATTATGGCTGGGTTTGCAGGCAAGACAAGCCTGTAACAAAGTAAAATGCTCAGTACCATGAATAATGTCATCAAATCTCACAGACTTAAAATTAAAGGTACAGTCTATTCTGCTTAATGAAGTGGTATTTAATGAAAAGTTACAATATATTACTATGTTAGCTGAATCCCAGAAGGTAAATATAGGACAAATATGTTCTCAAAGTCAAGAGGTAGGCTGGATATGCAGGAAAAATAATATGGATAAGTAGACGAATACCTGAGCTTCTCAACATGTCCAGGGCAGAGGTCTGGAATGGGCAGATGGATTGGAGTTAACATGACAAAGGGAATAACTGAGCTGTGTGAGCAGAAGGGGGTTCCTAGAAGGCACTGACTCAAAAGAGAGCTGAGAGCTTTGGACTAGAGAAACTACTGAATATAGACTGAAGGGAATATGAGGAAAGTAGAGAATTTAGCTTCTGATAATGTACTAGCATTGGTTCATTAGCTGCGACAGATATATTATACTAAGTTGACAATGATGAGGATGACACCAACGACGATGATGATGAAATCTTGAGGAATATAAGGGAATTTCTTATCTTTATTAATTATCTATAACTTTAATCTATTCTAAAATAGGAAGCTTATTTAAATAAAAAATAAAATGTATAGCACCATCATGGAAGATACCTATACTGGAAATAAGTTAGGGCTGCAAGGATGGATGTAAATCACAAAGCACTAGCCCAGAGACTATGGGCTCCAAAACTCAATTTCTAACTAGCCCCTGTTAATTGTGTTACAGCCCATTCATGCTCCCTTTGCTACCATATTCCTCTGACTGTCCACACAGCTGAGGCTATTTCATTAACAAAAATCTACCTATATTTAATATCTACCAAAGGTTCTTAATCATCATTCCTTACATCCAACAGTGTACAAAGAACTTTTCTGCCCTTTCCTTTCCATTTTTTTGTAATCAAGCCTCAATTTTCTATTGATATAACCCTTCTCCTTTTTACAGCTGCTCAAATTTACACTAAGAAAACATTCATTCTCTGTTCAGGGAATCAAAATGAAACAAAACAAAGGGCTATTACCTACCTGGGTCTCTCTTCCAGCACATTCGATATAAACCAACCAGTGTAAATACTAAGAGTGTTATAACAATCAGAGCAATAACCACCGGCAAAATAATACCTAAAAAGTATTGGAGAGATTGTCAGTCAAAGTAGCTGCCATATTTCATACAGATTACCAACTGCATAAGCATGTGTATGCTATCTTCTTTAAGAAAGATAAGAAACAATAGTCTTTCTTAAAAAATATTTCATTTATTATTTGTATTTTATGTGTACAAGTGTATTGCCTGAGTACACCCATGCCATGCAAAGCCCTAGGAGGTCAGATTGAGGGCATTGGATTCCCCTAGAACTGGAGTCATGGACAGTTGTTAGCCGCCATGTAGGTGCTGGGGAATCGAATCTGGGTCCTCTGCAAGAGAACTCAGTGCTCTTAACTGCTGAGTCAACTTGCCAGCCTCCACAGAAACAATATTCTATCAAAGCATTATTACGTTTTAGGCAAGGATTAATCTGATTTATGTTTGCCTGATTGTCATTTCTGACATATCCACTTGATGTCACTCTTGTAGCCTTCCTGAAACAAACTTCCAGCCCTCAAAAAGATGGTCCCCCATCTTCCTGGAGACTGGGGGAGTGAGGAGAAAGGAGACCAGAGGCAGATGCTTTCTAGATTAAAGGTAAAACCACACCCCTTTATTATATTGCCTTGTCCTTAATGAAGTTGCTATCCAGAAGAAAGTGGCAGCCCATTTGGGATTTTTCTAGTCCTAATGCTGGCTTTCCAAAAAACTCAAATATCTTTTCAATACTATTGCCTTAAAACTAGAAAATATGTACAAATCACACAGGAAATAACTTTTAAAAGCTGAAAATGGTTCAAAATAGATTGTGTGTGTGTGTGTGTGTGTGTGTGTGTGTGTGTGTGTGTGTGTACAAATTGGGGAAATTCCTGTTGTTTTTTTTTTCTTTTTTTAAAGAGGAGGGTGGCTTACGCTTCACTGTCAAGATTAAATATTTTGGTACATTCTGCTGACTTTGCGGATTTTCAAATAGATCGTAAGTGACATCATTCTTTCCTTCCCAAATGAAAATGATGTCATGAATCAACAGATTGATTCTTTTTGGGCTAACTCATTTAATGAAATAATTTTACTTAAACCAAAGATTTGTAATTCCAGTTTCACACACATTTGTTGAACTGTTAATTTCTAAGGGATATTAACTATTGGATATTCTATATTCCATCTTAGTATGCCCATAATGTGTAATATTGAATACATATGCTTTAGCTAAAATGAATTTAATTGCTATTTAAGGTAAAATTCTGTCAAGATAAAAAATCATTTTTTTTTGTAATTTAACTGCTAAAGAATATTTAATTGACAAATAAGGAAGGAATATGTTGAAGGCCTATAGCTTGAGGGCTTGAGCATGACTTATTAGTATGGTGACTTTGACCTGCTTATCCAGCTTAGCTGAAGCCAGTTCAAACTCATCATTCACCCTTGCTAGTTAGTACTTGCTTACCTCTAAGGCAAGAAAAAAAAATATGTGGTGATTAAGATCAGATCTATAAGAAATTCTCAAACCCAGCTGCTGTTATACTGGATTAAAATGAAACTAAAGGCTCAGAAAAGCTGAGAAAAGACTGAACATAACCCTTTCTTTTTATTGTTCCATTTAAATATTGTATCTGTCATCTATCTATCTATCTATCTATCTATCTATCTATCTATCATCTATCTATCTATCATCTATCTATCTATCTATCTCTATCTATCTATCTATCATCTATCATTTATCTCTATTATCTATCAATCTATCAATCTATTTATTCATATACATAGGCATACATATATCTCAATATATACATATATCTAAATATACATATATGGTACTCACTGGAATAAGAAGGGATGGTTGGTGGAGTAGTTGTGTTTTTCCAATCTTCATTATCTGTTATTTCAGGAAAGAAAACAAACAAGCTATTTTTGATTAATATGTCAAACCCTACAATCCTCCTTCCACTCCCATTTAAAGAAATATCTATGATTTATAAGTATGATGTTACAAGTGTAAAAATTTCCCTCCACATTGAAAATCAAGATGAGTAGTTTTATTTAATAAAGAACAGCCCAGTAGAGCAAGTTCCATTCACACACACAGAAATCATACCTTGAAACGGTGAGATGGTCTTTGGAGTTGTTACTGTCCTTGAGGGTAACACAGTGGCTTTAGATGATGTGCCTGGTGGTTGAGTGTTAACTATAGGAAAATCACAAATCCAGACTCAGGTTACAGTATTAAGTCTTAATATTGGATTTCTTTGTATATTTAAACAGCTTGCATTTTTAATGGTCTGAGAAAATACTTCATTGTTGAATGATAGGATTATAAGATGGTAACACTGAGCTTAACTTTTTCTAGTCTTCTTGGAAAGATGACTGACCATGGCAGCACATAGAGGAGTTATCAGTATTGCATCTTCCAGAGCAGAACTGGCCAAGAAAACCCAAGTAACTCTCTTACTCTTGTCCATAGTCCATACAGCCAACTGTGTAGGGTTCCTGTGAGACGTATGCTAAAACACTATTCAGCTTTGGGAAAGGGTGACTTTGTCCATCACGCATGTTTAAAATAGAAGTAAATGCACAACACTTGGATTTTATGGTATTTTCCAATGGTTGAAGAGAAAAGATTGTTACCAAGGCTTTGATGAGGAGTTGAGGGAAATCAGTGAAGGGGAAGAGCCCCTGGATTTCCTTCCACAAAACTCAGCTGCTGTGTGAACTCTGTGACCTCCCTAGAATAACTGCTGCTTCCTCCTATTTCCTCTGTTGACCGTGATCTTTCTGCAATGAAAATACTCTTGAAATGCTATTACCATGATTTATTTGTTTGACATTCATCATATTTAAAGGACTAAGCAGATTATTATTATTACAAATAAAATTATTTTTAAGTTTTAATGTAAGATAACATAAATTGATATGTGTAATATAATACCCAACAACATCTTAATAGTTTTAAAGAAAATGTAAACATTGAATGTTTTATAAAGTTATATTTATTGTGAGATGAGCATAACATGTAATTTATGTTTATAATTTTTGAAATGAGCTGTCTCTTGGGGTATGAGGGACTCTTGTATTACACCTGCTGGCCCACCTCTCCACAAAACTGTGAGTTCCTGGAGTACAAAAGGCCATACCTCTCAAGACACTCTCCATGGACCTCTTGCTCTGACAGTGTGTGGTAAAATGTTGCTGAGTGCTTTGCTGGACTGAGTCATCTTTTCTGCCTAAGGCTCCTTAGGAGTACTGAGCCATGTATAATTGCCTCAGAGAAATAGGTATTTCTAGGTCTGCCATGGAGCTTTCCCTCTCTGCCACCCACAGCACAGCACACACTGCATGCTCTGTGGGGGAAGAATCATGTTGAGGTCTGCACCGTGCTTGCCAGGCAAGTGGTCTGTGGGAGGAAGCCAGATATATGCCCATAAGAACAAAGGAAATGTCAGGCTAGTGCACAAAGCAGGCAGAAAACGGAATATTAAGTGAAAGAGTGGGAGAAGCTGAAACCTTGGTGCTTTTAGTTGCTTTTCCTAGTGTCAAGGGCTGTGCGAGGATGAATAGTCTTTGTGGCACACAGGTAGAGGACAAGGTAGCTGGGTCAATACCAGTGGCCTTGGGATTTCCCAATGGCTAGTTTTCAGATCTCCCTTATCCTTTCTTATCACTGTCTCATGGACAGGTCAAGTGGTTGCTTTAGGACTGCCTGTTTCTGATTCAAATAACACCTTTCCTATTTAAAACATATTGATTGTCCAGGGCCAGTGATTATTACTAACAACACTAAGGTTGGCTGCAAGGTTAATCCTTCTGTTCTTAAATGATTGATCATTGGCTTCTGGGACAGAAACTTTCAAGTTTAAATTTAACTGTAATTCTTTGTCAAGAAATCATTTCTGAAATCAACACACACACACACACACACACAGACACACGCACGCACACATAGGATAATACTTCTATCACGTGTAATACTGTTTGATACTGTTTGATATCTACTTTTTTTTCTTTTCTATTTTTTTCTTTTCTATTTCATTAAAAATACTTGACACGACATCTACAGTTTGAGAAGCCCTGTCTTTCAGCATGACCGTATTGCTGAAATTATGGTATTTATTTAAATCCACAAATTGTGAGCTTAATGTTTTTCCTTCTGTGACTATAACAAAGGAATTCATAGTAGGGTCGGATGATTTTTCGTTCATTTTGGTTAGACTGTATTACCTTGCATTTCTACCAAAGTAGTGTTGTCAGAGAAGGTGTAGGAGAAGAATAATTCAGTGGTTTAGAGCATGAATCTAAGAGCTAAGCACCAGGGCTTAACTCTGACTGTAAAACTTACTCCCTATGGAAACTTAGGCAAATTATTTAACATCTTTTTGTCTGATTTCCTATATATACAAATGGGGTTATAATAGTTTTATATTATATTGTTGCTATACAGATTAAATAAGAATAAATTTAAATTTCCTAAAAGAATAATGGCTATTAATGTGGCTGTGTTATATTGTGTAATATTGTATAACATAAACTGTGATATGATAATATGTCATGACTGTGCCTTTAGAACACTGAACTTTTCAATTAAAGATAGTTTGTCTATCTTGCTTAAAAACTGGAAAACATGGCACTCTTAGACCACCCAGGTTTGTGCCTGGCTCCTGATTTTGGTGACTACGATGCTCAATGAACTATGGAAGTATTGTGTCACAATTTCAATCCAGTTTACAAACTTCAGCAAGCCATTTGAGACAAGTTCTTGGAGCCAAGTCTGTTGTATTGACAGGCACCAACATGTTCCTCGCGGTTATGGAGAAAAGCACATATCATTGCTGTAAACTTAATAAGCCATCGAGGCTTTAAGGTCAAGAGTCTTTGCCGATGACTGAGTTGAGAATGCTCCTCCAGAGACTCCAGTTACAGATATGTAAGTGATTGAGTTTCCCCACCTGCTGTCTGAACTCCACCCTATGGGCTGAAGTCATACCTTCCCAAGACTGTTCAACAAATGTTGACCTGGCAGTGATAGCAATGCTTCTTCCTGAGAGCCGTGCTCTCTTTCTAAGAGGGTCTTGGGCTCTAGGACTTTTTGACAACTTTTCTGAAACTTCCTCAGATGCATGACAGAATAAGAGGCTTCTCCCCAGTCTTCCCAGCCCCCAGCCCCTTTCCACACTTGTCTTGCTGTCTGACAGCCCTTCGGCCTCTGTCTAGACCCTTGCCATATTTTCACAGGCATTTTCTCAGGTAGATGCCTTATCTATTTAATCGCCTCTTTGACTGTGTTTCTTGGATGGTTCTGACTAGAGCAGTCTCCATTATTATGTGTTTAAGAGATGACTTTCTACTGAGGGCACAAATAGACTCTCAGCAATTTTAAATTGGAATTGGAAGGCTTGGGCACTGTTTGCCTTCTAAAAGCATTCATTTCCCCTCTTTTGTGGGATCTCAACTCTTCCTGTAGGGAAGCGCCTTTTCCTCATTTCTTATTTATGTAAGATTCTTCTTCTGATCCCCATCTAAGTTCATGACATGACCTAAGTTTTTTCTTAAGAGTTTAAGTGTAGAGACTGAGTTATTCTCAGAGCAAATAAATTCCTAAAATTATTTGTCTCCTTCTTTGTTCTGTGAGTTTCCCAGAATCTTTTTAATTAAAAAAAACTATTTTAGTAAGACATAGTCAATTTTTATTGTTGGCAACCAAATAATCTTAAATATTTTATTTATTATTTATTTTGGCTAATGTTACCTGAGGGCAGAAATCCTTTGTAAGTATTTAGCATGAGATCTTGCCATACAATCAGACAGATTGAATACGATCTTCTTTAAGAGAATGATGCTAGATAGGCCGAACAGGCTCCAGTTGATGAAATCAAACTGAAGGACATCTGGTACAGAAACTTGACTCAATAAGCCTTAACATATATGACAGAATGAATGAAAGTCTGGGTGGGCTACAGGGGCTGCAGATATGGGAGAGGATGTAAATATCATTAAGATGTACAAAATGCACAAAAATTCAATAAGAATTAAATTTAAAAAGACAGGATAAAATGTGAGCTTATTTTCAGATTGTACACACACATGCTTAACTTTCATATGCAGATGTATATGGTTTTATATATGTGTATGTATAAAATGTGTGTATATATTTTTAATGTTTTGTTTTATTCTAATTTGTAAGATAAGGACAAAAATAGAAACATCAACAAGACCATTACAATAATAACATAAGATGGTAGTGATGTGTTCCTATACTCCTATCATTACTTGGGAAGAAGATGCTAGGTATCTGGAATTTGAAGCCAGCCTGAGCTACAAAGTGAGATCCTTCTCAAAACAAAAACAAAAATAACAAAAATAAAAGATGATACAAGAAACTTGCTTGGGCAAGTTTTCAAATTTAGCTTTTATTTATTGATTCTATAATATTTGTTGAGGAACTATGTAATGGTTAGTGTTGTCAACTTGCCAGGATCTAGAATCACTCAGGAGATAAGCCTCTGGGTATATCTGTGAAGGATTATCTAGACTAAGGTTAACATCTCTAAATGTCTATGAAGGATTATCTTTATTGGGTTATTTGCTGTGAGAAGATCCATCTAAATAGTGTGCAGGACCATTCCTGGGGCAGAGACCCTGGAAGGTATAAATTGGAGGAAGTGAGGTAATCACTAGCACCTGTGGTCTGCCTCTGGACTGCAGATGATGTGAGCAGCTCCTTCAAGTTCCTGCTGCTGTGACTTCCCTCCATCAGAGGCTGTGGCCTGAACTGTGAGCCTTAAGTTGCTTCTGATAGAGTATTTTATCAAAGCAATGGGAAAAAAAACTTAGACGAACTCTTTCTAGAGCTTGAGCTAGACGTTAGTAGTTGAATCGTTAGTAAATATACTGGGAGAATACATATTACACCAAGTAAGTACTGTTATGGTTATGATATCTGGTTACATGAAGTGCATAATCTTTGGGTAGAATGAAAAATCATTTCATTTTGATGGACAACTTCATGCTGTGGTGGTGACCCTGTGGAGAGCTGTGTTCAGGCAAGAAGCCATAGCAGAGGAACCATGGCACTGCTGAGCTTTCCCTCACAAGAAGAGCGTGCTGAGTATTCTGGAGCACACTTCACCAACCCTGACTTGTTCAAACCTTTCATTTTGCATGTGACAAGCCTGGAGTTTGGATAGGTTTCAC